AGCAGGGCACCTGGTGCTTCTGGACCTGCACTTGTGGAGGTGCTGAGTTTCCTGCTCTTCCATTGTCCCCTGAAGCCACCCGAGGCTTGTCAAGACCCAGAGCCTGAGCCAGGCACTGGTGGCTCATACCTGTTATCCTACCTACTAAGAAGGCTGAGATCTGAGGATTGTGGTTCAAAGCCAGCCTGGGAAGGAAAGTCTGTGAGAGTCTATTTACAGTTAACCAGCAGAAAACCAGAAGTGATGCTGTGGCTCAAAGTGGTAGAGTGCTAACCTTGAATGAAAGAACTCTTGAGTTTAAGCCCCATCATTGACAAAAACAAAAAACCCAGAGCCTGGGCTCCCACTGAAAGGTTAAAGTTTGAGGCAGTGACCACTTGTTGCTTGTTTCTGTCTAGCAAAGCAACACGTGGTGGCAATCCAAACACCTGGTTGATTGTGTGCCTTTATAAGACCTGCAAATCCTTAGCTTGGGCTCTCCTCCTAGGCTCCGTTGTGTCGGAGTGTAGGACGAGGCCCGAGCTGCAGCCCGTTTAAATAAAACAGCTGTAGAGTCTGACTCTCGGTGGTCTTCTTGGTGGGGGTCCTGCGACCTTGGCATAACACCACCAGACCTACAGTCCAGGGGCCGGGCCTTCAGTCCACTGCATACCCCGAGCTTACACTCGTAATCCTGCTCAAGGGTGAGGAGCCTTACGACACGTACCCTGTCTTCAAGCCCCCAGGTGTGGCTGGTCCTGAAGTAGAAGTGAAGGTGCTGCTGCTTTTACTAGCTGCAGAGCATCTTAGCTGTGAAGAAATCGGAAAGAAGATTCTGGAGAGACTGAGGAAGGCCTCACACAGGGTTTCTGGTGTTCATGGATCTGGTCAGGGTAGAGCCCTTGGGCCACAGCCTGTCAGTAGTTGCATCTCTTTTCTGTTGATCAGGTGACCTCTGGAGCCTCTTGGGATGCAAGCAAGACTCAAGGAGACTCCCCAGACTTCAAAACTAGGCTCTGGTTCCTGTAGAGCTCTTTAGGGGTGCAGAGGGAGGCACTGTTCTACCTTTAGATTCTCTGTAGAGTTCAGAAGTTGGATTTAAAGTAACATTTTTCAAATAAGCGTCACTTAGTACCAAGGGGGCCTCGTGTTAACATGTCTGTGTATATCTGTACTTTGATCAGCACCTTCTCTGTCATTCTCTGCCTTCCAGACCAGTCTCACTCAACAAGCTTAATTTTTTTCCATTTTTATACAAATACATAAAAGTATTTCAACTCAGAATCAGATGCTGTCCCTTGGCTTTTTCACTCAAAGCTGGGCTCTACCACTTGAGCCACAGCTCTACTTCAGGCTTTTTGGTGGAAAATTAGAGATAAGTTTTACACATTTTGCCTCCCTGGCTGGCTTTAAACCTGATCCTCAGATTTGAGCCTCCTGAATAGTTAAGATGACAGGGGACAGCCATCAGATCCTGGTGTGAATTTGTGTCTTACGCCACAGTCTTGGGGAGGATTTTTTCAAGCAGCATTTGAAGGGCTTCATTAGGCCTTGAATTACCAGGTTGCAGCCCTGAGACTCCATGCTTCCCCACTGTGACATGGAAAGCCCTGACAGGAGGCAAGGGAGCACTGTAGCTTAGTGCTGGAACCAGGGCCATTTCCCTCCCCGCAGCTGCCATCTTGCTGGAACATAATACCAGCCAGTGCCCACCCACCTTGCAGCCTGTGAGTTGCTTCTGTGGGTAAGGCTTCAGTCCCAGTGGCAGAAATGACACATGTGTAGCAGCTTAAGGGTACAAGGCCTTGGTGTCTACACACTCATCCAGGTACCTTCCAGGGGTCCATGCTTCCTTATCAGGAGATTTTGGTTTCTCTTGAGATCAGGCACAGTTATTAAGGACAGAACATTTTTTGTGTCAGTACTGGGGCCTGAATTCAGGGTCTTAGCTTTTTTGTTTAAGGCTGATGATGCTCTACCACTTGAGCCATAGCTCCACTTCTGACTTTTTGGTGGTTAATAGGACTTTCTTCCCTGGGTTGGTTTTGAGCCACAAGCCTTAGGATCTCAGCCTTCTGAGTCACTAGGATTAGGTGTGAGTCAACAGCACCTAGCTGAGGACAGATTATTTTAAAACACAACCCTGAAAAAAAGTCTAGTTACAGATGGTTTAGTGAATAAACACACATTTAGGAGTTTTCAGAAAGTGCTAAAGAAATGTGCCTTTGCCATGCCTTTAAAACAATTTAGCTCTGGGATTCACTGATATCTGAGGACAGGAGGGACGTTTCTCCTTGGTTTGGAGATTTGTGTATGTGTGTGTCCAGGAGTGGAGGGAGTGTTCTAATACAAAGCATTACATTAAAAAATGCCACCTGGTGCTGGTGGCTCACGCCTGTAATCCTAGTTACTCAGGAGGCTGAGATCTGAGGATCACAGTTCAAAGCCAGCCCAGCTAGGAAAGTCAGTGAGACTCTTATCTCCAATTAACCACCAGAAAACTGGCGCTTGCCTTGAGCTGAAGAGCTGAGGGACAGCATCCAGGCCCTGAGTTCAAACCCTCTGACTGACAAAAAAAGAAAAAAGAAAGAAAAAAAGAAAAAAAAAAAACAAGACATTCTTAGGCCAGGCATGGTGGTGCCACCTGAAATCCCAGCATTTGAGAGGCTAAAACAGGAAGATTATGAGTTCAAGGCAATATAGACTTTGTCTTAAAAAGAGAAAGGGAAAAAGAAAAGGGAAAGGGAAGAGGGGAAAAGGATGGGAAGGGAAAAGAAGAAAAGAAAATCTCAACTGGGTGGTAGTGACTTTCACCTGTAATCCTAGCTACTCTGGAGGTTGAGATCCAAGGATCACAATTGGAAGCCAGCCAAAATAATCAGCAAAAAGCCACATTAGAGGAATGGCTCAAGTAGTAGAGTGCCCGACATGAGGAAGAAAGCCGAGCAAGAGTATGAAGCCCTGAATTCCAGCCCTAGTACCAACACAAAAGAAAAGAAAGACTAGCTCAGCTGTATGATCCGGCCTTCCAAAGTTTTCATTTGTGACGAGTTAACCTTCTTGCTTCCCTCCATCTCACTACATAGCCCTGGCAGCGACTGCTTCCCAGCACAGCTCATGATGTTTCTCTTTAGATTTTCCTTCCAGTTCTTGAATATTGATCTCATGTCAGCTATTTTTTTGCCTGCATTGAGCTGCCCTCTCAAAACAACTCAATTTGAGAAAGCCAGACCTGAAGTGAGCATTGATATAAAGGCTCTTATCAGCCTCGTAGCTCTTTCTGCAAGGATCCTGTACCAATGCTATGGGCATGCAAACATGCTGTGCACCATTCCTCACAAACATGCTGTGCAGCACTGAGTCTTGCATAGCATCCAGCCTCTGTGAGGGATAGAGTAGTAAGATCAAAGTTAGAATGAGAGCATGAGATACCTTGGCTTCCCAGGATTCAATCAGGGGAGCCTACTGCAAGCTGGCGCAGGGGATCATGGGAAGCCCAAAGGTACCCCTGTATTCGGTGTAGTAGTGTCACTGGCAAGTGAGTACAGCTATTTATCTGAGTCGTTTGCACCTGGTGAGAGAAGATTGTAGTTGAGACAAGAGATGGAGTGAAGCTGGAGCCAGTGGCTCATGCCTGTAATTTCAGTTACTCACGGGGTTGAGATCTGAGGGTTGTGGTTCGAAGCCAGCCTGGGCAGGAAAGTATGTGAGAGTCTTATCTCCAGATAACCACCTGAAAACTGGAAGTAGTGCTGTGGCTCAGTGGTACAGCAGTAGTCTTGAGAGTAAAAGCTCAAGGACTGCGCCCAGGCCCTGAGTTCAAACCCTATGACCAACCAAAAAAAAGGGGGGGGTGAGGAAGTAAAAGTAGCAGTTCATTGGGAAAGAAGTATGGTAGAGAAAAGCAATTATCCATCTTTAGTGTACATTCAAGAGTATTCATGTTCCCAGGGGAGTCTCAGGACTAGGGTCTCCCCTCAGGATCTTGGTTCTAGGTTCTCCTGTATCTCAAAGGAGAAGGATGGAGAAGGTAGTAGTGAAAGATGGAATAGGAAAGTGTTCTCAGCAGGAGACACATTGGCTGGAATGCCACAGCTCTGAGGGCAGCACTGCCACCTGCTTTTATTAGGAGAAATCTAGACAGGCTGGTGGGTCTTGGTGGGGTGTTGGGTGGAGTTTGGGTGGTCCTTCATTTGGTGAGAACTCTGATAGATGGTTTGGTTGACAGAAGAGATGTGCACCTGGGCATACTCAGGTTTGTGTGGATGGCTGTGTATAGATTCCTCGTAGAGATTGAGTCATCTCAGGTGAAGCTCTTCACATTGTGGGGCTCACGGATCATTGTAGGCTTTATAGTCCTTGTCCCCAGAGCAAGTGTATTGAGTGAGAGCTCTGCCAGATTAACTTCCTCAATGATACTTGGCACCAGTTTACTCTGTGTATGTGCGTGCATGCATGCTGGCAGTGAGACTTCAACATAGGGCCTGGTCACTGGTCGTTATCCCTAAACTTTTTTGTCTAAAGCTCTACTTCTGACTTTTTGGTGATTAGAGATAAGAGAAACTGGGATCCCCAGATGTCGTCATCTGAGTCGGTAGGATTACAGGTTTGAGCCACCAGCACTCAGTATCTGCAGCATTTGGTGGTCTCTCTGCCACTTGGCAGTTTGGGGTATCTAAAAGCCAGGGGAAGGTCTGTTGCTGGATGTGGTCTGGATCAGTGGCCCTGGCCACCAGGGACCCTTTGATGCCTGCCTGCCTGCCTCAGTGGAATTGTATGTTCATGTTACATGTATTATATTTCTGACCGGGGCGGGGGGGAGTTGATGCTGCTATGGCATCTGCAAGTCAGGAATCCATGTTTGTCTGATGATTCATAGATGCCTGTTCACCATGTGCCCTCAGCTCCCTGGCCAGTGCCTGGCATCTGGTGGATGTGGCAGCATGCATTTGTCCCAGGAGCTTCTTGGGTCTTACATGTCCTCTCATCCATCAGCCTGACTCTCCCTCTCTTCCCTGGAGGTGTGCTGAGTCTTCTGGAATATGGAGAAGAGTATGTTTTCACCCTGCCCAGTGCCTACGCCCGATCCATCCTCACCATCCCATGGGTGGAGCTTGGAGGGAAGGTCAGCATCAGCTGTGCCAAGACGGGCTACTCTGCCACGGTGACTTTCCACACAAAGCCCTTCTACGGGGGGAAGGTCCACAGGTAAGAGGCAGGTGGGCTGGGGGGAGAAGGCTTTGGTTTTGTCCAATTATGATGCCTTCACATTCCCCTTGAATTCCAGCCAGGTGCTGGTGCCTCACACTTGTATTCCTATCTACTTGAGAGCCTGATTGCTGAGGATTGTGGTTCAAAGCCAGGGTAGGAAAGTCCATGAGGCTCTTATTTCTAATTCATCACCAGAAAACCAGAAATGGAGTTGTGGCTCCAAGAGGTAGAGTGCTAGCCTTGAGCAGAAAAGCTCAGGAACAGTGTCCAGGGCCTGAGTTCAAGTCCCATGAGAGACAAAAACAAAAGATTGAGTTCTGGCAGAGGAGTAAGTTGTAAAATAAGACAAAGTGGCAGGTCTTGTTCAGAAATTCTAGATACCTCTTTCCCAAGTCATAGGGCAGGATTCTGGGGGGAAATCTCTGGCCATGCATTTGAAAATACACCCCAGATAATAAAAAGCACTTTGTCTTGTTACACTTTCCCCCCCCTCCCCCCGACCTTCTTCAGTCACAGCCTCTTCTTACCCTGCTGTGCTTTGAGCTGAAGACTTGGCATCTCCAGAGTCCCTGAGCGCTGGGTCACACCTCCGTGCAGTGCCGCTGACAAGCTGCTTCTCTGCTTAGGAGCTGGGGAAACAGGTCTTCTGCAGGAGGAGAAGTTCCTGTGGGAGGAGCCTTGAGTGCATTCTTATGGTTCCCTTCCAGTTCTGCCCTTTTTCACGTGGGCGTTGGCATGAGGCACACATGGCTGCTTTGGGGCCAGGCTGCAGATGGCGCAGACCGGCGCCCACGAGCTGGTCATGTCCAGGGCCACCATGTTGGTGGATGGCATACCATGGAAATTGGCAGAGGTGTGCAAATGTGGGTTTCCTTGTGAGAGCCTGCTGTTTGTTGTTATCTGCACACTGCCCACCGTGCGGCCTCACCCTTGCCCCTGGCAGCTCCTGTGCCCAACTGCACCCCTGGGCTGTTGGGAGCAGCTTTCTGCCCAGGTGGGCTGCTGCTCATACTAGAAGTGGAGACCAGGGAACGCTCAGGCAAAGGCTCTGTATTTTAATTTTTTACATACATTTGTTTTCTTTTTTTATTATTTAAGTAGTTGTACAAAGGAGTTGCCATTTCACAAAGCCATCTATGAATACAATGTCTTGATTAATGTCACCTTTTCAACCTTGTCACCTGTCCTCTCCCATCCATCCCCTCCCTCACCCTTCTTAATTTTGTAAGATATACATTGGAATCTTGAGTGCACTTTCTCCTCCTCCTCCTCCTCTTTATTTGTCCACCCCATTCCCTTTGTGCTGATACTGGGGCTTGACCTCAGGACCTGGTGCTCTTACTTAGCTATTTTTGCTTAAGGCTGGGCCTCTACCATTTGAGCCATACCTCCACTTCCAGCTTTTGGATGATGAATTAGAAATGAGAGTGTCACAGACTTTCCTGCTGGCTTTGAGCTATGATCCTCAGATCTCAACCTCCTGAGTAGCTAGGATTACAGGTATGAGCCTCCAGCACCCAACTTACCTTATACTCTTTTGGTGGCTAAATATAGTAGTTTTGAAGTTATATACTGAGCTGCTTGATTGATTTTCCTCCCAGTGATGTGTATTCATTCCGTGTTTGTCTCTGAAAGCTAAGATTAGCGCTGCTGCATTACTGTGTTTCAACTAATCTGTACACTATTCAGATTAAACCACTTTTCCCAACTTTTTCCTGGGTCAGTGATACGAGCTCCTATTTTAAGACTTAGTGTTTGGATCCCTCTTTCCCAAGCCCCCCAGAAACCCCTCTAACCCTGAGGGCCCTGTTTTGAATCTTTCCCTTGGCTTATATTTCTTCAGGGTCACGGCAGAGGTGAAGCACTGCCCCACCAACACCATTGTCTGTAAGGCCCACGGGGAATGGAATGGCACCTTGGAGTTCACCTACAGCAATGGGGAGACCAAAGTTATCGACACAACAGCCCTTCCTGTGTACCCAAAGAAGATAAGGCCCCTCCAGAAACAGGGACCCATGGAGTCCAGGTGGGAACTGGTCCGTGTGGCTCCACGGCTCAGCTTTCCTAGTGGCTGACCAAGGGGCATAGGGGAAACTTCCAAAAGCACAATTGATACAAGTGGATCAGGGCCCATGTTCTGACCCTGATAGTACCTCCGTTTCTCCTGTCTAGGTCTTGGGTGTGGACAGTGTAGCTCTCCAGTGGGTCATTTCTGTAGTTATCATAAACACAGGGCCTTGCCCTTGCCAGGCAGATCTCTAGCCTGTACCATACACCATACTCCCTCCTGCTGCTGCTGCTGCTTGAGCCACGCTTCTACCACCTAAGCCACACACCCCAAGTCCACTTTTTTTTTAGCTTCCACATATATGAGCACATAGTGTTGGTGTTTCTGGGTTTGGTTTTTTTTTCTGTTTGTTTCTTCTTGATGGCTGAAGATTATTCCCTTGTGTATACAGATCACATTTTCTTTATACTCATCTGTTGCTGCAGGCTTTTCCTCTTAAATTAGGCACTAGTGCAGTAGAAACAGCAAAAGGCTGTGTGGGAGTCAGACCTGGCTGATCTACCTTTTTTTTTTTCTTTTTTGGGATGTATAGTATGATACTGTGGTTTAAACTCAAAACCTCATATTTGTTAGGCAAGGTGCTCTGTCACTTGAGCCATGCCTCCAGCCCTGTCAGACCTGGCTTCCCATCCCCACTTGCAAAGCTCTTGTTGCGGTAATATGTGGGCCAGAGGGTCACACTCCCTGTTTTCTGTTATCAGTGAGGCTGGGGGGAATGGGAGCTGGAGTGTGACCTTGGTGTTGACCTTCCTCGGAGGGTATTGCTCAGTGTCCCAAGCAGCCACCCTGTCCTCCTTCAGCTTCATGAGGTCACAGTCAAGGCTTCCTGCTGTACCATGCCAGCCTACACAGGAGTTATGGGCCTGGTCTCATGACAGCCTGGAGAGCGGGCAGGGAGTTGCACCACTGGCCGTCCTGCGGCTGTGACATCACAGCTGCTGTTGTGGTGGTTGGAAACACCTGTGTGCTGCCCTGCTTTACCATGGCTGCTTCTCTGTCCTTACCCCTTGGTCAGTGTTTCCTAGAACCATGGCCGGCACCTAAGACGGCTGGAGGAGGACGCTGCTTGGGAGAGGCCACCTCTGCCAAGTGTGGGCGTGGGTGGAGGTGATAGCTTCTGTGTCCTAAACCCACTTGTGCATGTGCACACACATATGCAGATAGACACACAAAGCAGGCATTCACATGCATACAGACAAGCACTCATAGATACACAGACACACACAGAAACATACACAGGTACACATGCAGAGATATACACAGACACACCAACACATAGACACACACAGATACACAGGCATATATACACAGATACATAGACACACACAGATATGAGACACATACAGATACAGACACCGACACATACACAGACACATAGACAAGCAAAGATGTGCACACAGGCCTGTGAGCACGTGCACACACAGGCGCATAGTCCAACCATCTTTGTCTTTCAGTGCTGGGATCCCTGGTGGGAAAGCTGGCATTGTTCTAATCTACCAGCTGGACTTTGGGCAAGTCAGTTCAGCTTGCTCCTGGGACTCGTTTCTGTACAGTGCAGACAACAATGGAGCATGGCGAAGTTAGGTGTGGGGTTAGAGGAGCGGATTGGGAAGATGCTTACAAGCAGGCGGCACATGCCCTGTGGCCCTGGTGACCAGCAGCCTCCACCCCAGCATGGGCTCTGAGGAAGGCTGCTGTGGGGCCTTGTGCTCATGCCCCGCTCTGCTCTGGCAGCAGTGTCCCCACTGGTGGCTCTGCTGATGCTTTCCCCTCCTTCCTGTATCCCCAGGAACCTCTGGCAGGAGGTGACCCGAAACCTACGATTAGGGGACATTGAGGCTGCCACCGAGCAGAAGCGGCGCCTGGAGGAGAAGCAGCGCGTGGAGGAGCGGAAGCGGGAGAGCCTGCGGGTGCCCTGGCAGCCCAGATACTTCACCCAGGAGGTACCCCTGCCCGCCGTGTGCTGGGCTCACCCGCCAGCCTAGCCCCAGGGGGACCTAGGGCTTCCCTGGCGAGCCTCGCCGTTGGATGGACGGGGAAAGACAGGGCAGGGAGGTCCTGGTTTGGAGTGGAGGCAGTGTGGCTCTAGTACCAGCTTTGGCTCAAGCTTTTGGACAGCCTTTCTGTAACAACGTTCATGATGTATGAACTCTCCACACGCAACCTGCCAGCCTCTTAGGGAGGGAAGGAGGGGATTGCCGACCTGAGGACCTCTCCAGCCAGGTAAAGAGGAGCAAATCCGAGCAGAGCATGGCATAAAGGCAAGACCCCCACAGCCCATCTCCAGGCCAGGGGCGCTGAAAGCATCCTGGGGATGGCCTGCCTGGTGGAGTTTTGCCTCCTTGGGGCCCCATGGGTGGCCATATTGGGGTTGGTGGCCCTTTATGTTTGGGAAGTCACTGGGAGGCATTTCAAGGGCAGAGTGGGAAGTTAAGAAACATAGGAGCCTCTTCTGAAAGAGCCTGGTGGGAAGCCGGGGACATGAGAGCCTGGGGGTGGGGAGAGGGGAGCACTTCCTGCCAGGCCAGAGATCCTTCATAGGAGCCAGGAATCTGGATTTTTCTTCCCCCCCCCCTTCCCCCCCCCCCCCCCCCCCCCCGCAATCTGATATGCATGATGAATGAATACCAATAGCCAATCAGAACGTTTCTGTGGGTCGTTAGCTCAGGTCTGCTAATCTAGACATAAAGCTAGCAGCAAAGTGACCTGGGGTGGGCTAGAAGCCCACTGTCCTACTGAGTGAGGAACTGAGGCATCATAGTGGATCTTTTCAGCTCTGGCCCCTGGTTCAGACAGGACAGCTGCTTAGGGAAAGCCTGCCTTTCAGGTCACCATGTGGGGACTGTGTGGGAGCCTTGCCCAGGTGAGGTCAGTCTTCGAGAATCCTCCCACGAGGCAGGCACTTGTCTCTCCAGCACAGCTGTTTTCCTCAGCCTCTATGGAGAGTTGTTTATTAAAGAACAAAAGGCCACTGAGTTCTACCTCTGGGGTTTCAGAAAAACCTATAAGAAGTGTTGCGGGCGGGCAGGAAGAATGCTGGTTACCCCCTAGAACTGGAGCACTGCTCTAGCACCAGGTCTATAGGCCATTTTGAGTCCAGTCTTTTAATCAACTGACACTCCATGATGAGTTCTCATGTATTGATCTGCTTGTGATCGCTCCCTGCTGGAATCTTGCTGAACACACCCCTCTCAGGCTGTGGGCTAGCAGGGCATCGGTAGCTCCTTACATAGGAGACATACCTTTGCCTTTTCTTCTACCCATCCATTCAGCCACCACTTCCTCTCTTGTCCCACTGTCTCCAGGGGCTGTTTTGCCAAGCAGTTCTTCCTGATGTAAATCACCAAGTCTCCTTTCATTATTTTCTCCTGAAAGAGTAGAAGATCTCTGGGCTCTGAAGGCAGTCAGGCTGAGAAAGGCCAGCGAGCCTACCAGCGTGGCTTGGCTGTGGGATATCTGTGGGAACAACGCAGGCCGATTGCATGTCCTGGGCTTACACTGTAGTCTCTGCCTAGTAGAGGTAGATCTTCCCTGTTCCTTCTGCAAGATCTCCAGTTAATACTTTGTCTTTTTTCAGGGTGATGGCTGGGTTTACTTCAACCCTCTCTGGAAGGCACACTGATGAAGTGGCAGTGCACGGCTCTCCTACACAACCCTGTTTTTGTAGAAATTAAAGTGGTACAGTCCTGCGGTTCTGTTGGCATTCACTGTGACCTCTTGTTAGCGTTGGGAGAAATGGTAACAGCAAAATTGTATACTGTGAAAAACACACCTGCAGACTCTGCTAGAGGATTAACTGTACACGAGAGCCATTTGGGATGTGTCCACAGTGTTCACACACAACACAGTGGACACACATCTGTGTTGTTATACACATGAATACTGCACTCACCAAGATTTAATGGGTAACCCATGAGCTCCTTTTTTTTAATCAATGAGGGTTGAAATTTTTTCTATTTTTCACTTTGCCAAACAAAAAACAACTAAAAAAAAAACCCCATTTTGCACTTACAAAGATGTTCTCACTTAGTCAATTCCTGTCACAATGAAGGTTGAATGAGCAGTGAGCATGGCCCAACTTATTTCCCTCTAGACAAAATGGCTCATTCCTGGTAAAGGTTGGTGGCTGTCATCTCTTTTAACTGTTTTGATTTTTAGCACCCACCTGCCTCTGTTGTTAGTCCACACCCAGGAAAGAGAAGAGGCTCTTGGTTGTGGATGGGATGGAGGAAGCAGTTTAAGACAGCTGTGGGAGCCTCCCAATTGGAGCACCCCTGGAGAAACCAGTGAGACCCATTGGGGCATTTTCTTCCCATCCTTTGATAGTCATGCTCACGCAGCATGGGTCATACATTCTTTTATTTTTTTTTGTTGGTCGTGGGGCTTGAACTCTGGGCCTGGGCGCTGTCCACTCAGCTCTTTAGCTCAAGGCGAGCCACAGCACCACTACTGGTTTTCTGGTGGTTTATTGGAGATAAGAATCTCAAGGACGTTCCTGCCTGGGCTGGCTTTGAACCGTGATCCTCCGATCTCAGCCTCCTGAATTAGGTAGGATTACAGGTGTGGGCCACTGGTGCCCAGCATGGTCATACAATCTTTAGAAGCTGCTTCCTTTACTGCAGAAAATAAATCATATGGAGACTTCACTACTTTTATTATAAAAAAAACAAAAAGGGCTTTAGAAGTTAAATACACGCATGCATACACAAACATGCACAAACCACCACCTCATCCTTGTGTCTTGTTTGGGAAAAGGAAATTATTAATTGTGGATTTCAGTTTTTTCTTAAATGTACCTCTCTGATTTGATTCAAATTCTGTAAGAAAGCCACTGTGATTAAAACCTTCATAAATCCTGTGTGAGTGTACATCCCTTGGCTTCAGTCCTCGGCCATTACAAATGAGGTCAGACATGACCCAAACAAAAAGGAAAAAAAATGGCTTTTGCTCCATGCTTATTTTTTACTGTGCCACTCCAGTGATACTTAAAAAATTCAGTCGCATGAATGCTTCTCTGTAGTTACACTAATTTTGTGCCTTTTGTCTGCTTTCTTAAGACCAATTGTTCACTCTTTGTAGATATTAGACAAATATATTTCGATTAAATATTATACCCTTCTGTGTATCTGTGTTACTTATTTTCAGGGATTCAGAAGTTCTGATGGGTCATTGTTGAAGGAGCTGTCCCATCTACATCAAACTGTTCCATCTACATCAAACTTTTTTTTTTAACACAATTTGAAAACCTATATGACAAAACTTTTTGACAAGTTCATTATAAGTTCAGTTTTTTGTGTGAGGACTTATTGCAGGAAGTTACAGTATAAGCTCCTTCAGGACTAGTGATAAAACATCTCCGTGAATAGTGTTTGAAAGCATTTCCTTTCTCTGGATAGATGCTACTTGGAGGGGGGGGGGGGAGGGGACTCTTCAACAAGAAGATTGAAAATAATCAGGATGGTGCTTTTAGATTTTCCCATCTTGCTAGAAAACATCAGCCATCTGGGAAATATAACAGGGAGAAGCCTTGCTTTTTAAGCATGGTGGCTATATTTTGCTTTCTTGAAATTGTACAATATCAAATACTAGATTTGTAGAAAACATATACAGCTCAAAAGATTAACTGCATAGCCATGTATCCACTGCTGAAATAATAGAACCTAAGTTTACAGTGCCCTAAAAGACACCATCCCACACACTTGTCTCTTTCTCTATGCCTGATGCAGTTAACTGGCCCATTATCATCTGCTTGCATTCTACTTGTATACACTGTGCATTTATAAGCAGAATCCTTGGTTTTGGTTGTATGGGCACGTTGTACAAATAGAATCATACCGACAGTTTGCTTATTTAAGCCAATATTTTTTCCATGTCATGAGTTGTTTTAATCATTTTCTTTTTGTTGAAGAATAATTCTGTATTCCCTCTTAGGATTTTGACTGTGGTGAGTACCTTGTGTCAGCTCATACTTACTGCACTAACCATGTTCAAGGTTCCTCCATGTTGTTACACATTTCATTTTCCTTCCTTTCTTAAAGGCTCATTTACTGACCCATAGGGATAAACAAATGTTTGCTCAAGTCCCTTCTTCCACATCTTTCAGTTGAACACCCAGAGGTAGAATTTGCTGAGTCATGAAACTTCTGCAAGTTTTGAAGAACTACCGTCATTTCTCATGGCAGCTGGCTGCATCATTTTGCAATCCTATCAGAAAAGCAGAGTCCAATTTCTCCACATACTCAATACTTACTTTTGAAATTTTAATATACTATTTCGTTGAAGCTTTGATTTGCATTTCTGTACCAGTGAAGCTTCGCATCTTGTTTTTTGGCATTTGTATATCTTCCCTGGAAAAATGCCTGTTCAAATCCTTTACCCACTTAAGAAAAATCATTTTTGTTGAATGTTTTCATTCTGAATTAATTTTTTCCAAGATGAAGACTTGAACTCCTTGGTTATTGGAGGCTTTCGCTTTTTAGCTGGCGCTCTCCCTCCTGAACCATGCCTCTAACCCCATTGAATCCATGGAATGTGTAGTTTGTTGAGTATTTTCTTCCTTTCAGGGCAGATATTGATGATTATTTGGTGGTGGTGCTGGGGATCAAATCCAAGGCCTCCTGTATTTTATTTTTTTGTTTTTTGTTTTTCGCCAATCCTGGGGCTTGAACTCAGGGCCTGGGCACTGTCCCTGAGCTTTTGCTCAAGGCTACCACTTGAGCCACAATGCCACTGGCCTCCTGTATTTTAGACAAATAGTTTACTATTTAGATATACCCCTAGTTTATTGTTAGTTTTTTTGAAACACGAAAGTAATTCTGATGCAATTTTTCTTTTGCAACCTGTGGTTTAAATGTCATATCTAAGAAATCATATCACTAATTTTAGTGTCATGTTGCCTTTGATTTGTTTTCCTCTATGAGTTTTACGGTTTTAGACTATAGATTTTTGAACCATTTTTATTTTTTTGTGTGATGCAAGGTAAGTGACCAGGCCCATTCGTTTGTATGTAGACATGTGATTTTTCCCAGCAGCATTTATTAAAGATTGTCTTTCCTCACTGGGTGGCCTTGGCACCCTTGTTGAATCATGTGGCTATCTACTTGTTTATTTCAGGGCCTTCTACTCCATGGTCTGTATGCCAGCATTGCTATTTTGATAACTGCAGCTTTCTAATAATTATGAACTCAGGAAGCGTGAGACTTCTTTTTCTTTTTACAAGGATGGTTTGGTAATTTAGAGTCCCTTGAGAGCCCACATACATTTTAGGATAGAGCTTTGTATAAATTTAAAAAGAAACTTGATAGGGATTCCAAGCACAGTGTTGAAACATTTTCTTAATCCATGGACACAAAGATATTGTTCCTCTTTCTCTTAATCTTTTGGCATTGTCTTGTGGTTTTTTAGCATGTAAACCATCCCCACCTTACGTTTATTCTAAGTAATTTTTGATACCATTTGGTACTACTGCAAATAGAATTTTCAGTGTGGATTATTGTTGATCTTAAAAACTGCTTTATGTGCATTGACTATATATCCTTTAATATTTAATATTTTGTTACCGAATTATGGGTTTTCTAGATAAGAGAATGTCATTTTCCAGAAGACAATTTTACTTCTTATAGACACCTTTTATTTCTAGTTCTGGGCTAAATGCCCTGGATAGAATGTTGGAGAAAGTTAGAAGCAGATATCTTTGTCTTGTTCCTAATCTTAGCAGAAAAGCCTTTGGCCTTTTTTTTGTTGCTATTTTAGATTTTAGTCTCATGCAAAGGTATTCTTTTTATGCAGCTGATCATGTAGCTTTACCCCTTTATTGTGTCAGTGTTCTGAATGTTAAGTTCTTAAACTCTGAGTCCCACTTGGTCACAGTCTAAATCCTTTTAATATGCTATGGAATCTACTTTGCTACTGTTAAGGATTTTTGAGCTAATATTGACACTGGATGTTTACCCGTTTTCTTATTGCTGTGTCCTTTTTTTTGTGGGGGGACTGTGGGCATCAAAGGTTGAATTAGGAATATTTCTGGAAGAATTTGGTAAGGATTGGTGATAGCTCCTTTTTAAGTTTTTGGCACAATTTACCCATGAGGCCAATCTGCTTTTTTTGGGGGGGGGCTTTAATTACTGATCCAATCTTGATACTAATTACATTTCCTTTTTTGTTGTTGTTGGTCGTGAGGCTTGAACTCTGGGCCTGGGTGCTGTCAGCTCTTCAGCTCAAGGCTAGTGCTCTGCCACTTGAGCCACGGTGGCACTTCTGGTTTTCTGGTTGATTATTGGAGATAAGAATCTCATGGACTTCCCAGCCTGGGCAGCTTTGAACCGAGATCCTCAGATAGCCTCCTGAGTAGCTAGGATTACAGGCGTGAGCCACGAGCACCCAGCTCATTTCCCTTTGTGATTCTTTCTTGGCTGGTTTTATTTCTAGGAATCCATTTATTGGAAGATGGGGATATGGGTGTCCTTTGCTCAAATTGACACCAAACAATTCCCATAAAAATCCAGTTTACCTTTATAGGATTGGTAATGTTCCACTTTTTTTCTAATTTCACTTAATGTTTAAAGGTCTGCCAATTTTGTTCATGTATTTTTGAAATTTTTAACTTTTTCTCAATTTCTGGTCTGTATTTCCCTCTTTCTGCTTACCCATCCCCCATGCCTTAGCGTTCTAATTAGGTTGTGATTTGAGGTAGTTTAAATAAAATTCACTTGTAGCTTTATCCATTTTTTCTTTTTGGTCATGGGGTTTGAACTTTGGGCCTGGGCCTGGTCTCTGGGCTCAAAGCCCTGCACCACTTGGGCCACAGTGCCACTTCATGTGTTCTGGTAGTAATTGGAGATGGGTCTCACTTTCCCTTTGAACTGTGATCCTCTGGTCTCAGCCTCCTGTGTAGCTAGGATTACAGGTGAGAGCCACCATTTTTAAAACTAAAATGTCGATATTGTCCAATTTACTTGTGTTTTATATATTTTCTAATTTGTGCAGCTCCTGCTTTTCTAGTGCCAATGCACTGTGATCGAGGAAGATACTTTACCCAACTTGTCTTTTACATTTTACTTAGACCTGCTTTGTGGCCTAACACAGAGAATTCCATGTACATGTGAGATAATGTTTGGTGGGTGTAGTAGTTTCCTCATTGATCCTGTCTGATTGTTGATTGGCTTTTCAAAGTGGGGCATGGAAGGTAAATTTTTATTTTTTAAACTGTTCCAGAATTAATTTGTCCCTTTAATCCCAACAGTTTGCTTGATATATTTCGGAGGCTCTGAAGTGCCAATAACTGTGTCCTAGAGTCTTGTAACATACTGTGGTACTCCATTACTGGAAGTTTCACATGGTTTGTTCCTCATAGCAATCGCAGAAATTTAATGGAAAATTCTAGAAATAAAACAGCTCAGTGCTTCAGTTGTGTACTG